TAGCAAGCTCATAATGCCATAATAACTAATTCATTGTAAATAATGGAGGTTTTAATTGAATTTATTATCTAAAAAATAAATTATTTATAATCACAAAATATAGATAGTTGGTAGTAGATATAGATTAATTTAAGTTATCCTTTATAAATTCTTTGAAAAGAGTATCAATAAATAAATAGGTAAAAATAATGATAAAGAGACACCGCCACCGAAGGCGGTGATTTTTTAGGGGGGTAGGCAAAGGTTTTTGAAGGGGGTTTGCATCCAGTGAAAATCCTGTTATGTAGACGCTGTCATCAATTGTAGATTTTGTTGAAGTATTCATTTCAATATTATTTTTAAAAACAATTAAAACTTCATGTAATAAAAAATCCTGTAGGAATTTTTTTTCTTTTTCACCATCAATCCAACGATTTTTAAAATAGGGATGAGAAATAGTTACCAAAAATGCACTTTTAAAATTGTTATCAAAATCATATATATTTTTAAATCTTTTATTTAAATAATTTTCTATGGCAACAGCTAATGGTTTGCAAAATTGTAGATTGGTTTGAATTAAATTTGTAAATTTTTTTTAACGACATTTAAAATTGGAGCTGATTCTCCATAATAGCAGTTGATTTCACTCTGTATTTTGTCAATCGCTATAGCCAATGGGGCCATTATATTGCAATATTCTTCTAAATATTGAATTTCAATATCTCTTAATTTAGGAAATTCTAATTTTTGACATAATTTAGGAAGTTCGCCTTTAAATTTTAATAAACTATGAAGACTATCATACAAACTATTCCATCTAGTGCAACAAGGTGTAACTAATTGTTTTCCTAAAACTGCTTTGATAAGTTCTGCAGTTTTAGGCCTATTATTTGCATTCCATAGCTTAGTACATTTAGCTATTGCAGGATGATAAATTTTAGAAATGTTAGGAGAATCCTTAATAGCTCTCTCGACATCTGTTGTGGCAATTAGACTTATCATATGGCACAAACAACGAATGTGTTGAGGCAATGTTATTGAGGCTTTTTTAGACCCTTAAATAAACAAATAAATAATTTTATTTGAACAAAATTTTTTACTAAATTTACAATATCATAATAAATTTACAATAAATTAATAAATTTTAAAGAAGTATTAAATAATACTTTCAATGATTTTGAATTCTATACATTCATCATCATTGATGTCAAAGTCATTCTCTACAGCTTCCATAGAATATCCAAACTCCTTGAAAGCTTTCTTAAAGTTAGAGCCGTTATCTGTAACAGTTGCTATAACTTTTTCGTCAATACCAAAGTCACGATGAATTTCTTTATTATGATCATCTTGAAGTACTTCAAAAAATTTGCCATTAAGTATGCTTAGTTTTAATTTATTGTTGTAATTTTCGGTTGAAGAATCATCTGAAGACGAAGATAAAACATATTATTCTATTTTCTTCTTCCATAATTTTAAAATAGACATATATAAAACGATTCAAATATGGTAGTTCTAATTGTTAGCAAATTGCTATATGACGACCAACGTCATATATCAAAAATTATCTTAAAATATCTAAATTTTGATTAAATTTTTCATTTAAATCTTAAAACAATATCATTTTAAATTTTAATACTATTTAAATTAACCAATATAAATTTTTATTAAAGTATCTTTATCTTTTTTAATACAAATTTGGTTAAGATACAAATACTTTTAAATAATATGTATCTTAGATACTGGATACAAGATACTTTCCAAAATTTTAAAAAAGATACAAATATCCGCGATACTGCCCAACCCTGCTCGAGAATATAAATGTTAGAAGGCTAAAATGTTAACTATTACTTAGTTACATTAACCTTTCTTTGCTTATCAAATTTTTTAAAAAAAGAAGGGGTCGGCCGGAATTCTCATCTTTTGCTCATTAGTTGACTGGATTAAATATAATTCACTAATCATTTGGTATTGGAGTTAAAATTTTATTTTATTTAAAAATGGTACTTTATTATAAATGATTAATTTATTTCCCGCAATTGTAATAAGATAAAGGTGAAAAAAGAAAAGAATGGTTAAAAATCACAAAAAAGAGTGAGTTGAAGAAAGGCGGGGAAAATAAAGAAATTATTTTATAAAAAAATGAGAAGACAAAAATTATTCAAAATTAAAGAGAAATCGCAAAAAGTTAGAAAAAGGAAGAAAATTAAAAATAAACAAAAATTAAAAAAATACGTTTCAGAATTATTAAAACGACAATAAAAAATGTAATAAATAGCGGTTACCCTTTTTTGAATGGGAATTTTTTTTTTAATTGAACCTTTTCTTTTGATCAGATTATTATCATTCAACTTTTTTTTTTGATCGAGAATTTTCCTAAGTCGTAAGTCTTTATCGATTGAGACCTTTCTTAAGTCTTAGGTGCGGTTTAATTTTTTGATCAGGACCTTTCCTTGTTTTAGTGGGAAACCCTATAAATAATTACTTATCAGGTCAATACCGTTAAACTTTTTACGCGAAATGCATTACCGCAAATGCATCATAGCGACAGTATAGCGAATGCATTACAGCAAATGTATTATCGCGAATGCATCATAGCGAATTTATTAAAGCGTAGATATTATCGCGAATGCATCATGGCGAATGCATTATCGCGACTACATTATCGTGAGTGCAATATCGAATGTATTATCGCGAATGCATTATCACGTATACGATAGTGATTTATATGTGACAAATGGTTGATATAATTAATAGAAGTATTAAAATTCCTTACTACTTATCCACTTACTTTCTAATAAGGAGTTCATCATTAATATCTTTTTATTTTTTAAATATATCGGAAACCATAAATTTGTTACCTTTTGGAAGTTCCTGGCCTATAATATTTTTCCACCGGGTCTCTATTTCTCTATGGAAATTCTTTACACTCTATTATATTGTAACTCATTTAGCAAGTTCAGACCTTTTTCAAAAATCCAATATTTATTTAAGGTAGCGTTTTTAAATTTTTATAACTAAAGCACGTCACTTGCTATTTATGAAATTTCATATTTTATTAAAAAATATATGGAATTTAATATTTTCAATTTTTTTTAATTATTAGATTAAGTCGTTTTTTTTAGAAAATTTGAAATACCAATTATTTGAAAAAAAATAACTTAAGACCCTCATTATTTTTATATATTTAAAAATGGGCTAGACGTGTTCCCATTATGTTGGTCTACAGCCCGACTCTCGCTTTTTTTCAAATTTTTTTCGTAATTATAAATTATGAGGCAAAACACAAAGCGTACTTTGAGATCCATAAAATTATTAGAATCATAAATATAATTAATCTATCCTTTTTTTTTCTTGTATAACACCTAACAATAAACGCCAATTTGATTATTTTTTGCGAAATTATAGACCATATTTTACCAATTTTTTTTCAAGAATTTTTCGGTATATGGAACCCGTATTTTGAGATCTCTTTAAAGCTTGTTGAACTGGACGAATATTCCACTTCCTATAGAATTCAGGAATTAAACTTCATTCCAATTTTTCTTCTCATGGCATAATTTTATTGTCTTTAATCACATAACTAGAAAAAAGGCTCGTCAGGAAGCAAAAGCCAGGAAATTATTATTCGATTGTTTTTCCTAAATCCTAAGTCACAATTTTATCATCAGAGATTGCATAAATTAAGTTCTGAGATGTGTAGCCATTCAATTCGATAATTTACCTATGATGCTGAATATTGTTTCATGTCTTTTTATGATTGTGATAAGCTTTGGCTTGTCTTTTTGATTAAGCAATAAGAGAACTTACAAATTTATTATCAAAATATGCTTATTAAATCAATCCTAAATCCCTCACTAATTATAGCATATTTTGTCAAAGAATAATATAAATGATTTCCGAGGACTAATTATCTGTTTGGCTCAATGTTTTAAATAAGATTTTTTCTTAGCGCCTCGCAAATTTAATTTATTTCAGCCAAAGCTCCATCCAAAATCTTTATTTATTTTAGCCTAGCCATTATTTTAAATTTTACTGAACCTGCCCTGTCCCAAATTTAATTGAGAAATATAACTAAACGCGTATTTAAACAATCATTTAATATAAAAATTTAATTCCTAATCTATTTTATTACTTAGAATCTTTTTTTATATATTTTGAGTCAAAAACTTAAGCACTATTTTCAAAAAAAAATGTTTTTAGACCCAAACCTGACTATAACTTAATTTCCAGGTTTAACTAAGTCTGTCTAATGGCCGATAAATATAAAATTGTAATTTTCATCAAACTCCATTCCCGATATTGCAACTCATGTAATTCATTTAAGATAATGCATACGCGATTATGCATTCGCCACAATACATTCTCACTAATGTATTCGCTATAATAAATTCGCGATAATTCATTCGCTATAATGCATTCGCTATAATAAATTCGCAATAATTCATTCGGTATAATGCATTCGCGGTATAACTTTTGCTGCAATGCTTTCGCGGTAATACATTCAATTCATTCGCTGTAATGTATTTGCTATAATACATTCGCCATAACACTTTCACGGTATTACATTCGCCATAACACTTTCACGGTATTACATTCGCTTTAATGAATTCGCCATAATATTTTCGCTGTATTATATTCTCTATAATGCATTCGCTATAATATTATTTCGCTATAATACATTTTGCGGTAATACATTTCGCGCTAAAATTTTCGCATATTGACAATAACCAAATAATTATATCAATGAATCAAATAAAACAAAGAAGAGATAAGTTAAGGTGTTCCATCTCCAAATCTTCTGAATAAGATGAATTTTCTCAGAGGGATCTTTAGATGATAAGAATTAAGTTAAATAAAAATATAATATGAAATCTTGTAAATTAAAAGATTGAATGATATTTTTAAAAAATAACTTTTGATTTTAATATTTGGTAAGTTAGATTTTAAAGAAAATATAAGGATTTCATTAAAAATTCCCAACTGAATCCTTATTCCTACAACGTAAATTATCTTCCTTATAGGAAGGAGATCTGAAAACAAGCCATTCCTTCTGTATAGATGCTAGGTTTTACGGTAACGTCTCTAGGTTCCTGAATCATAATTGCCAGCCCAATCTGTCTCCCGTTAAAATTCATAGCCAAGATCACCAAGATCTGAGATTCCCCAGGATAAGTTTCTTCGCCACTCGGGATATATCGCCTTACGAAGAATTAGGGTATATTATATAAGCTTTTTTAATTGGAGAAGTAGAAAGAAAATTTTGAAATAACACTCGTGAACATGTTATTATTTTTTTAAGCTTTGATTACGGAGAAAAGTTTTGGGTTATAAAATACAAGAATTTTACTTGTAAGTGCGATACCCCTGCTTGCAAATATTCTGACGCTAAAATATTCGACACCTTGGCCGAGTATCACAAAAAATTGCAAATGTTTAACAATCAAGATAACGATAGCCTTACGGAAGACGAATGATGATAAATATAAAAGAAACTTTATTTCGAATGAACCTTTATTTATAAGTTTCTCCTCATGTTTCTATCATATTATCCTTCATTCAATTTTTCTAAATTTATTTCACTCTATCTTCTTATGATAGTTGTGATGTTTTTGACTGTGATTATATTCGATTGCCAAGCTTTTAGCCTTTTTATATAAATTTTTTAAAATCATATATTTAAATTTTATGATCTGATAGGGACTTACTTAATATTTTCTATATATTTTTAAAAATATGTACATACATAAATTATTATAACTTGTTAGCGACTTAAAAATTATTTATGATATTGTAGACAAATGATATATTTTTTAAATGAGTGCTTGGAATTTTTTATATGATAATTTATATAGTTTTTGTTTGAATAAATTATTTTTTGTATAATATTCTATAATAGACATTATATATTATTAATAAATTTTATATATAGAATGGTAATTAGAATCAACAGTTTTATTTCTTATATAAAAATTATTACCAATTTAACTTCATCGATCTGATATTTAGATTGATTTTTATTTACCATCTTTCTCCGAATCAATGTATTATAAAATCAATATTTTCTAGTGTCTTTAATGCACTCAAGTTTAGACAAGCTTTCAGCCTAAAAAAATGAAAACCTAAATTAAGCCACAAATTGAGGATTAAGACAATTTTTTTTAAAATAAAAACTTGGTTAAGTCGTTTTCTAGTAAGTCAAACTTAAGTAATAACAATAACCATGGGAAATAAGTAACATCTTGAAATTTTACGTTTCTCATGACCAAGGTGATATGGGCACCAGCACGAATTTAAGTGTATTTTGTTTTTTTATTCCCTAAAGGTTAATAATATCCTTTAAAATATGGGCAATGTTGGCTGAATCTAAATTTTCTTGCTGCAATTAAATAACACAAAAATAGTATTACATTTTTAGCTACTTTTTATTTTAAAATAATTCGATTTTATTCAAAGATTACAAATAATGGTTCCTTTTATTTATTATTATTAGGAAAATATGTAGAAAATATTATATAGTTATAAATACAGTCATAAAATAACCTAATAGAATGATCATAGCGTGATTGAGCCGGTTTATTTTGATAAATCGGATCTAGTAACTCAATGGCGCAGGCAGCTAATCTCCTTTTAACGATACCCGTCATTCAAATAATACAACTACTTTTTAATAGATACCAAGTCTCATTCAAAATATTTTTCAATTGGGCCGTTCATGAGGTTGAAGCAAGGATCCAAACCTTAACAGATTTCGGTTTAAGTTCCGATAAAAATAACGGTTCGGTTTAAATCTTCAAAAACCGGGTTTTCCCATCTCTTCTCTTTTCTTTATTTAAAATTTTATTAGTATTCTCTAAAAATAATATTAAGCCAATACAAATCAAAATATTTTCAAGATTCTCTTGTCAAATTAAATCTAAAAAGAAAAGGCATAAATTTTATGACTAAGAACACTTTTATATGCTAACTTGAGTAGCCAGCACCGTCAAATAAAGATAATTACAAATATTTATCAGTCAAAACTGATTATTAATCATCTTTAAAGGGGTTAAAATATCAAAAGAACCCAGTTCACAGGCATCTTAAATGTGATCCAGATTTGGCGAAGGTCACAAATTTCTTAATGGCAGGTTCGGTTTAATAAATAATACCGGTTTAACGGTTCCGTTTAAATTTCTAGTTTGACGCAAGGTTGCTAGATCTCCTATTTATCCGTAACTGACGATTTTGCCTCATTTTTCTTACGTTTTTTGAACAAATTGAAAAAATCAGACTTTTTAAAATTATTTTTGGTCAGATTCAGACTAAATTTATTTGGGGTCGGACTCGGAAGACATCAATGGTTTTAAACCATTATGTTTTTTTAATGTTATTATAGAGAAGATTATCGTCAGTTCGCATACTTGATCGACTTAATTTTTGCACTTATCTGAATTTTGTTCAGAATAGCAGCCTGAATACCATTTTTTTAAATGATTTCTTTTAAATATTTTAAGATATACTTATTCCTATTTTTTAAATCTAAAAATCACTATTCTGATGAGATTAAAAAGAAAAAGGACGAGCTAGACCCCTTCTCAGCGTTTATCATTTTTCCGATTTCGTTAAAATATTGTACTTTTTCAACGGTTCAATAAAAAATTCGAATCGGACCTATTTCTAAAATAAATATTCGTATCGCTCTCGAATCTTTAAAAAAATTATCTAATCGTTGGGGCAAGTTTTTGTCGGACCTGAAGAAAAGGCCAGATGTAGGATTCTAATCAGATTATAAATTTTAGCATATTATCAAAAACCAAACTAGATTTTAAATAAATTAACATACAGAATTTTTTGAAAAAACCTCAAATTTATAAAATGTTTTAGAGCGAAAACAGTGATGGGATATATAAAAATAAGTCCCGAATAAACAGCCCACGAATAAGAAAAAATTCAATATTTTTAACAAAACACCCGGCCATCCTAGGTTGAATTGAAAGGATAGCCTGTGTATTGTATAAAATTTGATAGATTGGTGAAACTGAATAAATTTAAAAACATTAAATAATTGAAGAAAAATGATGAAAATCAGGATTGTGAACCGGAACCCTCAATATTTTAGTGAACCAAACCAAACTATATTGAAATGAAATTAAAAAAACATGCAATTTATTCTAATATATTCTTATTATCAATATAAAGACCTTTTTAATTAAAAATCATTTTACGTGGAATATTTTAGAGTACTCCATTTTATGTAAAAATTTTAAATAACAGCATATTATGGAACTTTTTTTAATGGATACTGTATAATATAATAATATATCTTTTAGGTATCTATTTTTGTTTGTTCAATTATTAAATTAAAAGTAAGACTAAAGAAAAAAACATAATCACAAGGTAAAATAAAATGCAAGTTACAATGCGCTCGAAAGGCATAAAAAATGATATTTTAATTTTAGCATTTCGATTTTGGAAGATATCATAATTCGTTTATACTCTAATTATGATAAATTATTTTTATGGTAAGGGCTAAGTATAGTAAAATAAAGTTTATAAAAAAACTGATATTCCTATTATTTTTGCTATATTTTATAAGCCTTTAATTTCCCGGACCACGAACCTGGTTCAAAGATATTTCTCTGAACCAGAACCTAAGTCTGAACCCTTTTTTTAGAAGGAGAGTGTACAAACCTAAAGAAAATAAAGAAATTATTTAGAAAAAAAGAATAATTTAAAATGAGAAAAAAAAATCGAGTAGAAGTGACAAAAAGTAAAAATATTTTATTTCCTAAGAAGAATATTTAAAGAGTTTCGAAGTTTAGACGATCGATATGTGTTGATTTGTCTTAAGAAATGAACTTATACTGGTATAGTCTCAAGCTAGAGGTTCTCATCAAGAAGTTTGCTGTCTAAGGTATTGAGTCCTATGAGTTTTCGTGTTGTTGGAATAAGAGTAGTAGATAGGGCAAGCCATCAAGTGTGTGGAAACGGACACTATCTGACTAAAAAGGCTATATATAATATTTTAATTTTTTATTATTAATATTATTAAAAAAAAATAATAAATTTTAACTTCGTACAAATAGGAAACTATTCAGTTCGTATTCTACGTGACAATAATTTTCAAATTTCTTTTTATTGCTTTGTAAATAATAACTTTAAACTTAATATTTCTATAATACCACCAAAACTATATATAAAATAAAAACACATGATTATAAAATATATAATAGTTATATAATATATTAAAAATCAATATTTACATCCAGTATATATATTTATATTTATATAGGTTTCGTTTTCGTCAAAAAAATGAAAAATTGCACACATATAATTCATTCTTCTATAAATTATTATAAATTATAAATTGGTAAACTCTTTAATACAAATATCATATTCATGCGAAAATATGAATTACCTCGAAAAAATATTATGCAGGTTTCAGATAGTTTTGGAAAAAAATTCATTTTAATAAACGAAGGATAAATTATGAGTTTATAAAAAATATAGTATCCAAATTCAATTTAAAAATTTTTTAAATAAAGTTCTAAGGATACAGAATAAAATTTCGAATAGATAAAAATGAGATATGAAGAAAAACAAAATTTTACATTTTGGTTAGAAAAATATATTGGCTAAAATAAACAAAAAACCTAAAATTTTTATTCGTCCATAAATAATTTACAAATATACCTACGTATACTTATTATGGCTGCTACTATTCTCTACCATGTATCAAAGAAATTTCTGTTTGGAATAAAAAAGATAAAATAAAGTGATATAAGAATTCGGTATATAATTTAAGAAAAATGATTAGTTTTTCTTTAGACAATTTTGTCACAAATTTTAAAAGTTCCTTTGCAATTCGAATCCGGCAAAGTGAGGAATAAACGTCCGTTTTCGCAAATACATAGTTGAAATACCCCCTTGTAATGTTCTTCTCCTTGGTTAACGATGTTGTCGCTGTTCAGATTACGTGGGTTCTCGATGTCGTTATTACTTTAAATATTAAAAAAAATAAAATATTACTTAAAATTATTATGGGATTTTAAAAAAAATTTGTCCATTACGTTCTGTTTCATTTCTATATATTTTTCAGAAGAGCGATTTGAAAACAACAATATACCATTTGTTTAACATTATTATAAATATATTTTATTACATAAAAAACATACTAAATAAAGATAATTTGAGTTTTTTTTATGTAAAGGAAGAAAAAAATAACTGATTTTGAACCAAAAATAGAGTTAAAACCTTATAACACGCGACACATAAATTATTGTCATAAATAAATTTTGATATTATTATTTTCTTAAACGCAATAATACCATTTTTTTCATGTTTCTTTAAAAAATATATAAACATTACCCCGAGTTCAATTTGGGAAGATTAGGAAAGTATATGCGACCACCAGCCAAATTAATCTTGCCTTCCTGCGAATTCAAGGTTATATCCTGCAGTGAGAGAACGTTGATGGGACCGGCTAGCGCTTTCATATCTATACCGTTCGATTCTAATTCAAGAGTACGGGTTAGGGATTCTAATCTACAAAGTGGTGAGAGTGGGAGTATAATTTTGTAAAATTCAAGGGAATAAAAAAAAACTTTTTGATAGCCATTTTTTTTTAGTTTTAGGAATTCCTTTGAAGATCTTCATTTGCACCCCTTTTAATTATTTAGTGTCTCTTTTTGGCTATATCTTTTTTAAAACTTAATTAATGCCTCCGTATAAAGATAATTATCAGTTTTTCTGACAAAATAAGACTAGTTAATTACACAAGAAATGACACTAATTAAATCAAAATGACTATAATTTAGTCAAAATAACAATAAATAGTTTAAAAAAGACATCAACGTGATTGTTTAAAAATGAAAGTAAAAAAACCATGATAAAAAAATTAAAAAAATGAAATATATTAATTTTAATTACTTTAAGGATTCAGAAGGCGGGGACCGAATCAAAGGAGTTTGAACCGATGTTTTAAACCTCCCACCATTTTTACCTTTCATATTTTAATTTAAAGTACAATATTAATTAATATTGGTTTCTGTAAAACAATGGGTTCAAAAATAAATAAAAAAAATATTTATTATAATTGTGTATGATATATTTGTGAAAGTTTTATTCTTAATAAATATAAAAATTATTATAAAAAATTAGGGATAAGAATTATAATGACTTAAATTTAACAGTACATTATTGATTTTGAATAAATTCAAATTAGCTAAAATGGAAATCCCAACAAATTTCCTATAAAAAGGGTATAATTTTTTTAAAGGGACTTTTAAATTGAGATTTCCTATAATTGTCATACAACCGCTATATTTAACCCATACCTAAATTCGAAGCCAATTTATATAAATAAGGAGACATCTCCTGCACTTGTAAGGGATATTTTTCTCGAAAAGCTGCACTGGCGAAAAATAATATATTGTAAAAACATTTGGCATATAATTTAGTTGAATAAGTTTATGACCTATGATTGACTTAGAGGAGTAAAAAATTATGTGAAAAAACAAGTATTAAATTACTGTTGACGTTGAGAGTATTCAATTTTATGGTCATATTATCGGGAGTCACTGCGAACACGGTATGCCCAAATTTGTTTTTGACTTCGAATTTAGGCCCTTGTGATATTATGCCGTTTGGACCTGTGTATAAAAAATAAATTATAATATATTGCATTTGAAAAAAATTTAAATTTGATCGCTTAATTATTTATATAGGATTTTTAACCGAATTCGTGTTTTTAAAGTGCCTTTTTCCAAATCAAATTTTTTAAGCCAAAGTTCTATCATTTTTAAACTAAATAGAGTCCTGGAAACTAATTTAAACCCTGCATTTTTAACGCAAATACCGTCTTATAGCCTAATTGGAACATTTTAAGTCCAATCTGTTTCATTTTTTAAGTTTATTAGTATTATTTTTTTAACCTTATTAGTGTATTTTTTAAACATAATTAGTTCCTTTTAACCTAATTATCCCATTAATCAGCAGTTGAAAATGCCTAATTTTTTCAAATATTATTTAAATCTGAACTGCTATATATCTGAAACGTTACCCATTAATAAGAGCATAAAAAAATGTATAATAGAAAAAATAAAAATATGTTACAAATTTAAAAATTTATTTATATATATTATATTTATTAGATACAATATAGATAATTTTAATATTTTGTTATTTTTTATAACAATTATGGATGGCACGGACGACATATCTCTTACCTGATTATGACGAACTTTATATCAACAGTTTTTCTATCACTAATCATTTTAATATAATAGCCACCCACAAGCATTTTCAGGTGTTCAGTTAATTAATTTATTAATGGGATTTTATAAGCGGCAGTTATCTCCAGACGAAATGTAGGTAAATGACTTCTTATCATTAGATAGCTTAAATATTTTAAAAATTTATAACTGAAACACCAAAAAAATTGCGAAAATTGGGTCGTAACATTATATATGTTGATACTATATTATCGCATGGATCAAGCAGCTTCATGAGAATTATATGAATTTATCAGATTAGGTTGAATAAAAAAAATTGAAATCTTACAATAGAATCTAAATATAATTATTTAACATTTTTTTAAACATATTTTATTTGTTTTCAAATATATAAGATAATTATAATAATATATAATTGCGCCTGACAAAAAATTTAAAAAAAATATACATTAAATATTAATTAAAAAAAAGAAGTATTATTATAAATTTTCGTTATCATGAGACAATGGCCATGAAGCTTTGAAAAATTTAATATTAAAATGAATTACCTCAAATCTTATTTCCTGTTTAATTTTAAATGAACTTGGGATTGTGGATTTAGGGCTTCTTTGACTTATAAATTTGAAAGAGATTTGTTCTTTCAAAAAGAATTTAGCTAATACTACTAATGGGATGAATATGTAATTAACATATGTGGGAATAATTTAAGCTCTTCTTTTTGCAATTTCACCAAGAGGAGTAAAATTATCGATATAGGTAAAATCCCAATATGTATACCTTTGCACCATGGGATCAGTTTGTTTATATTCATCCAGCTGAGTGTTGTTTATACAGAGCGCTTTGTGAATTGGTAAGGGTTGTGCTTGTTGCTTCAACAAGCATTATTAAAACCCATCGACAATTTTATTTAAATAAATGAAAAATTTTTTTCCTTGGTCAACGTTGCAAATATGGTACACCAAAAATTATTTGATTATAAATTAAAAAATAGATAAAATGATTGGCTAAAACTAAATAGAATAGGTTAAGGTTTCTATAAGGAATAAATTTAAATAAATTCTCTGTCCAAAAATTGACGATATTCATTGGCATCTAGCATACTGAAAAATAAATACTTTCTATACAATAATATAATAGTAAAATCTATGAGTTATGAGCTATAAAAGGCATCTTTTAAATGATTTCAATTTAAAAAATAATATGTGAAAAATTAATAAATATCAACTGCACCATATTTCCTTTTCTTTACTTTCTTAATTTGCTACCACTTCTTGAAATCTATCTCCTGTAATATTCGGTTCTTATCAAAAATTAGAAAAATATCATAATATATTTATTATAATTAACCTATGTACAACGAATTAGATATGTTTGAATTGTTATCGAATGCCTGCATAACTACGCTTCTATCGGATATGAGATTCAAGTTGCCCTGAATTTTTTGAAAAATATACAATTAATTTGTAATTTTTGTTATTTATTAAAAAGTAATTTTAATTGATAATACATATCTAATAAAAAGAATTTTTAAAAATAGTTAAAAAATAAGTAAGGAAGACCGAGAATCTTATGAACCAAGAGTTCTTGTGAGCGCTTTAGATTTTCTTCTATACTTAAAATATATTACTATATTATGAATATGCGGCTGGATCACATATTCATGTCAAAATATATAAATTTAACCCTTAAAAGTAACTTTTTTTAAATTAGGCTATTTTAAAAAATATAAAAAAATAATAATTTTAATTATCTAATATCTTATATAAGAACTAAACCAACCCTGTTTTATATAAAAATTATACTTTATTTGATCAAAAAATGTGTTTAAACTAACATAAAAATAAATTTTATATAAAATGATGGTATGAGACTTGTTTTCAGAGGTTCATACGAGCCAATTATATAACAAATATGACTAAATTTTTTAATTTATATATACATCTATTTTATAAATAGTGATAGGAAAACCTTCCCAGGGTATGGCTTATATTTTCCGGAAAAATCAATGTGCTAGAAGTATAATAGATTTTTATATATGATGTAAAAGTAGGTATATTATTTAATAATTATCAAGTAGGTTTGGTTTTTTTGCGCCTTTTAGGACTAGCATGATTCCCGGCCTTCCTCAAGGATATAAGTAAATTTGCCATTTTGAAAAATATTAATGTTGTTTGCTTTCCAAAAGTAACTAGTTACATTAGTAAGTTACATTGTCTAAAACTGGTGTTGTTAAAGGGCTCGATTTGAGATTTTTTAAAAATAGCTAACTCAATATTTCATCAATAAAAATATTATGCAAGCCTAAAGATTTTGTTCATAGATGGCACAAAGATTTGAACATCTATTAGCGGAGTCTTGAGGCTTAGGAAATATTTTTCTGGTTAAAATATTGAGTTGGCCGTTTTTAAAATCGGTTCAAATAGAGCTATTTAACAAACTAAAAAGTAACTAGTTACACTACAGAGTATAGTTACCAGATATAAAATATACCAAGTTAAAATAACTCATAAAAGTTACTTTTGTATTAGAAAGAAATAATGCTTATTATAAATAAAAGCAGCTTTGAGAAAAAAATAAGCATTTTATTTATATTTCATATGTATATTATTTACTTTATTATATAACTAAACATATAAATATATTAAATTCTATTACAGAGATCTTTGCCAAGCAAGTTTTCATTTGCTTTTAAAATTGTTTTTAAAACTTTTAATAAGCAAGTTCTATTTTTCCCATAAATCAGTTTTGCAATGCAAATAAATATTCTAGCGTGGTATTTGATGAAAAAGGAACATTATATTTGGCTAATATTAGCTTTATAAGAAGATATTTATCACAAGGGAGAAAAGTTTACAAGTCTTCAATACATTCGCAATTGGAGTTCGGCCTTTTTTTTAATCAAAAATTACCATTTAACCAAGGTTAGTATAATCTTGTATTTCGTTATTTTTAATAATTTGATTTTTTGTTCTTTTGGCTTCGATCTTGTTTAATCAAACCAATTTTAGATTTGGTTGCAAATATTTTAGTTGATTAAAACCTTGATTGTATAGTTTTGAATAGGGTTGTTATTTATTATAAAATCATTAAATCATCAAATTTTTCTTGTTTAGTTGTTGGTGTTTATTTTGAACTACAAGTGAGTTTACTCGGACTCAAGTTGATTTCAATGGATTTCTTCTTTTTAAAAATTGTTCCAATATTTTTTTAAATATTTAGTGTTTCAGAATAATGCATTTCTAAAAAATAATTATATCAAAATTATCCATTTTATAAGATGCCTCATAAATTTCTTGCTGAAGAAAGAAAAATGTTTGCAAAGAAGATGGATAATTAATTATTATTCCCATTTGATTAATATTATTTAAAACTGGTGTGGGTAAAGGTTCATTATTATGATTCTCCAATTTCGAATCTAATAAGTTAAATTAATGTTATCCATAAAATTACTATTATTTCATATGATTGAACCACTCATTTAAAATGTAATTAAGCTTATCATGAAGTATAAATTATATCTAATATATTTAAATTCAAATGGGCTAAAAAATTTAGTAATGTAATAAAATAAGAGGAAAAAATTGTTTTAACTGAAGTCTGGTTATGATATCTGGACAAACCTATTTAGGTTGCTTTTAAAAGTGAGGGGACTATATTTTTTTAAAACTCCCCTTTCTCAAAATAAAATCAACATATATAAAGAAATCTTTTTAAAGGGATATCCATTAGTGATCTGCATCGGGCCTAATCTTTCAAGCCCGGCCCGAATTTATTTAAATATAGAAATTAATTTTTATAATTACTCAAAATAAAAGACATATGTTATATGTCGTTTAGTTTCAATAAATAAAATCAAATATTTTTATTTTACATAAAAAATTCAATATAAAATTGATAAATTAAGTTATATTTAAAAAAATTTCCAAAATCCTATCCGACCCGGCCCGAATTTTTTTAAAATATTAGGCCTAACTTTGCAGATCTCTATTATCCATATCGTTTTTTTCCTTTATTTTTTTTCCTTATGTCAGTTTTTTTATTTTTGATAAATTTTTTAATAAAAACTCGTAGTAGAAAATTAAAAATGTTTTCCTTGATATAAAATAAATCTAAATACGATGATTAGATTAGATAATCAATATGGCTCAAGAAAGAAGGAAAAGAAGTTTATTTATTAATAAGATTTCTTTGAATAATTAGAAAATATTATGGATTTAGATATCATGAAAGCAAAGTGTGGAAGGGGACATCATAGTAAAAATCAATAAAAAAATATAATCATAAATCCAAAAAGGTTATTTGTTAGTAAGTGATAAACTGAATCTTAAAAAATTTAATTATAACGGATACACCATGCTCGTAAATATATGTGAAAAAATTTTTTCGGTTGTCTGTTTTATTTCTTTTTTTATTGATTAATTTTTTTTCCCATATTTTTTATTTATCTCTTTCTTTCGTTCTTTTTTTCTTGCAATATTATCTTAAAATCTAATGTAATGCTTTGCACTTATAAATTATGAAAATATTGATACAAATCGATTCGTTTTATCTTAATGAGATTCAATTAATGAATAGGAAAATTAAACAATATGAACCAATCACTACTTTATAATTTATACGTAAAAATGTGTTATAATTTTAATTTTATTATATTTTGAATAAAAAATTGAAATCATCAGCACCATTTCGATAAAATATGATTTTAAAAAAATAAATTAAAATTAATTGATACAAAAAGGAAATTGGGCAATGTAAAGTAAGAAATAATTGAAAATATAATAAAATTTATGATATATAATTGGGATTTTACATAAATGTTTTATATGAAATGGGGAAGGGATATACAGGCGCAGAGTGTAATGATAGTGCACACACTGTTCGAGGCAGCCTATAGCAACTTATTAATCAACGACCAAATTTTATTAAAAACTATTAACCTCTCTAACCTGTTTGAACCCTAACATCGTCCAAAAAGTTGTTCAGAAGAAATGAATTCGGCTGTGAATTGTACTTTAATTAATTGTTGGATTATATCTTTATTAATGCTCTCATACTGTGTTAACCCCGAAATATTTAATATATAAACTCATGAAATTTCAGTAATGTTAAGATTTAATGAGATATTAAAATCTTTTTAATTATTTTTGCCTTGTTTAATAATTATTGGGTTAATAATTTTTTTATAAGAAGATTAATATTATATCAAAATATTAATTAAATTAAAATAATCAAAATTGTTAAACATAAAAATTGGATTTCTTTAATGATAAATTAAATTTATATGATCTAATAGTTAATTCAATTTTATTGTCAATTTTACAATGGTTTATACTAGAACCGAATCCAAATCCAATCAAATTCGGGTCGATCGCGTTGATTTTTCTCGAACACCGTCGCGGGCCTAGGTTAACTTATTTCAGACCGGAAGAGGGCGACTAAATTTTTTTTTAAATATTTTGCTTTCCTAATGTTTATAATATTTTCTTCCAGCGTTTTAAATTTTCCGCTTTCTTTGGACTTGGTATATCGTACTTTTTTTAAGACCAATAAATTAAATATCGGATGTATTTTTTAAAATAAACTTAATATCGGATCGGACTTTAAAAAACTTGGATTGGATAGGTAGACAAAAAATTTTAAATTTTTTCTCAGCTCGGGTTGGACATGAAAAGATAGGCCCGATGCAGGGTTTAGTTTAACATAAATTCCACATAAAAACATATGTTTGCTATATAATTAAATTAATATGCTAAATTAATAGCTTTCCCTCAGAAATTAATTTCCTCCAGGGTATAATTTAAAAATTATTTTAAAAAAATGTGATTTAATCAAAAAATGATTTTTATATATTGCACAAATATAAATTATAACTTTTTAAAAAATGCCTTAATTAATACTACATAGTATAAAAATAAGTTTAATATATAATATTCATTGAAAGAACCATTTTCAAATAATAAAGTTACAATACTAACATATAATTATGCCTAATAGAATATTTATCATTGTAAGTATAAAATAACATATTAGATATATTTAGTCCTGTGGGCCGGCCGGCCATGATGAAAACTCCACCGTTTGTAAGAATCAGGCAGATAGACAACGCATAAATTTTTTAAAAATAATTTTCATATTTTATACATTTTTAAGGAAAAAGACCAGTTAAAATAAAAAAACTTTAGGACTAAGAAAGGTTCGATGAAATGTTTAAATTTTAATTCAAAGAAATTTAGAAGAGAAATATATTGAAAGGCTGGGGAAGATTTTAAAATATGCAAGAATTTGGGTAGAAAAAGACATTTTTTGGATAGGAAAAAAACTGATGAATTGAAGGTGATGAAGATTGTTCAGGGAATTAAATAGAAATTGCATCAAGTTGTCAAAAAATTGTCTGGGAAATAATTTTAAAATCTAGGGGAGGAATAATATCCT